AATAAGAAGAGGAGAATTAGCCCTTTTAAAAAGCAAGATAGCAATGCAAGCCTCTTGCCCAGAGTCAAGTGCAAGTTCTGAATGAAGAAAGCATTCTTACATTTAATACATATTTGAGTTCTACTGAATTCTACTAATATTAGGTACATTTTTAAAGACTTTTAAAAAAGTCCTTTAAATGGGCTCAGATATAAATAAAGAGATTTAATCTCATATTCTGCTCTCAGTGACACTGGTGTCAGATTTACTTCACCCCCAATCAAAACTTGACACACCAACTCTGCCAGGTAACTCCAGTACATGCTTTTAAGACTTTATGGCCCTTTAGAGGGACCATGTACTGTTGGGAAAAAGAACAACTAAAACCTGCACAGGATGTGCTGTGAAACTCTAGTATCTCTTTTTCTGGCTGCTTGTATTTAGAGAAGTAAAACCACTGTGTAAGTGTTGGGTTTATGTGTTAAACCTTCTCTGAGAAAAATAAGATTGCAGTGTTTGTATGTGGGTTTTTTATTTGCTAACTTGCACGCCAGGAGCAAATGCTTGTTCCTTAGCAGACTATAAAACGATCTGTGTTTATCTAAGTGTACTGTCTAATGTTCAGAGGCCCCTATTTACAGTGCATTTTAAGTATGTTTGGATTTTTCTACTCTGACAGATTAGAAACCCCCTGCAGCAGTGAAACTTTTCATAAACTTTCTGATGTGGTTTAACCTATCCCAGCTGAAACCAGGGCACTTTCAAACTTTTGCACTGAATAAACTGCTATTTAACTGTAGCAGTCTTCAGTATACTAACAGCTTCCTCACTGAAATTGCTAAATAAGAAGCAGAATTGGTCAAATACATTATTTTACAAAAGTCTAGCACTAACAGTCTTGGGTGTATTGTTTTCCCTCTCAAATGTACATAATTACTCACTCTTACAACAAACATGCAGCTCATAGTCCAGTCAGCATAGGGCTCACTACACTTTAGGCCCTTGTGATACTGAATCTCACAATTCAGGTCTTTAAGATCTAATTCATCTCAGCACTTGTCACAGCAGGCAAAACTGAGTTATGGCCTGTTTTGTCCTCAGCCAATAGATGGGTGGGGTATTAAACCACATTGAAAAGAGAAAGCCAATTTACCACCCTGCATGCTTAAACAAATAAGCTGATTAAAAGAGACAGTGATTTTGTGTGACTTTCCTACAGCTGCTAAAAAAAAAAAAAAAGAGACAGTTTTCCTCTCTGGTTTGAAAGTGAAATATATCAGTTCTAAACAAAGGAGGTGGGTAAACAAGTGGCTTTGAGGACAAGAGGAAAGCATTGCTATTCTTGGCAAAGAATGCCCTAAAGCATGAAAGCAGAGCACGCTCATTGTATCCATGATACTGCTGTCTCTGAGGCACAAAGGGATGGCAACCGGGCTCACACAACTTCGGCTCCAGCCAAGTAGGAGGGATCCCAGTGGAGTTCCCATGGAGCTTTCATCAGAAATGGAGATTCACAGTGTGTTTAATCGCATCCCCCAAAGACTTTGCTCTGTGTCAGGCAGCAGCAGTGCATAAAGACTACAACTGCAGTCTGGCAAACTGGGTCTCAAGTTGCACAGTTTAGTGTAAATAAGCACATACACACATCCTGCTCCCCCCCAAAAAAACAGAAAATAACCAAAAAACCCCAGCCTAAACTCAGGAGAAATTGAAGAAACATCACCCTTCAGTTCACCAAATACATAGTCTGAATTACAATGCCTCCACCCATCAAACATTGTTATTACAGGACAAACTCCTGTTGGAGTTGCAGCCTGTTTGTCACATGTGATTATGTCCAGTTCTTGCCCTCAATGTCAACAGAACAAAGGCATTCATTAGTGAGCTCCCTGGTAAAACACAGATGAAACTTCACACAGGAGTGGTATACTGAAGAATGTCTTGCCTGGAGAGAAAGAGACATTCATTGTCTGACTGCTTTAAAAACCTGAACATGATCAGGTCAGACAGATCTGCCCACAAGGTTACTGTTTTATCTTATAAGATCCCAGGTAGTACCTCTGAAACAGCTGTTCTACAAATTTTCTCTTTAAAAGAGCAGTGTAAAAAAAAATACTTCCCTTACTATCTCAGCCTTGCCTCTAATTATGTCATTTACTCTTTGTATTTTTTGCTCTTCTGATACAGGTTACAGCTGAGACATTGTTATGTTAACCTAGAATTTCACAGGGTCAACAAACTCCTCCTGTCTATGTCATCTTGCAGAATTTTACCTTCAGGTAATTTGTGAATGGATGCAGAAGAGAAATATTACTTAACATCAAGTATGGATTAGTTTGACTGCTTCCTGAAGTTGAAGAGTGTTGTAAGAAAAGAGCTTAATTCAGCCTTTATTCCTGTACATTTTAAACATCTTTTAACACATCACCCAATCTGGTGTCATACACACTTTTAACTTGAAGGGTTTTCAAATACAGCTGATGGCAAACATGTTTCAGCTCTATAATTGCTTTTTCTTCTTTGTCAAAACTAGTGACAGAACACAAGTCCCAGAGCTGATAATATTGATACTAAAATGTGCTGTAAAAAAATTTTTTTAGGCTAGTGATTCTAGTTACTCTGGCAAGGGATTATTTCAGCATCAGACAGTTATTCTGACTGTGAGAATAAATCTCAAAAGCTACCAAAGTGTCCACAGGGCACACAACATGCTCTGCTTTCAGTTTTGCCTCTTATATTTTATCTTTTCATTTTTCTTCACAAAACAATGGTAAAGAGGATCATTTAGTACTGCCAATTAAAAAAAAAAATTCTTTTCAGCCCACTTTTGTATTTTAATGGTCTTTCCAATGTTTTCCAGCTGAATTATATGGAAATATTTTTAATTTTACATATTTTGCTTGAAAAAACCTTATGTTAATGCATGGAATATGAGAAATTATTATTGGAAAGGCTTCTTCAGGCTAAAGACTTCAGTTTTAGACAATGGTTTCTATTCACAATGTGAGTTGCACGACCTGAATGCTGTTCCCAGAGCTTTGTACTCAAACTGAGCTCCATTGGGAAACTGCTAGTAAGCAGTACTTTTGGTAGACTGTGTCTGTCTTTCCACTGGTGCTCTCACTACAAATGTGACTAAGACACAAATCTCCCCCAGATCTGCTGGTTTCTGGCATGTCAAAAGAGAAATCATTAATAATAACTATTGATGCAAAGTCTAGCCGGCAGTCAGGCACTGCTGCTGTCCCTCAGGGACCAGGGCTGGGATCAGCACTAATGTCTTCATTAACGATTGGGATGAGGGCACACAGTGTGCTCTTGCCAGGTTTGCAGATAACACAGCTTTGGGATGGCAGGGCAGCCCATCAGAGGGAACTGAACAGCCTGGGGAAATGGGCTGACAGGAACCTGGGGAGTTAAACAACAAAAGCAAATAGAGATTCCTGCATCTGGGATGGAATGACCCCTCACAACCCAGACAGGCTGGAGCCAAAACTCTTGGAAGCAGCTGTGCAGAAAAAACCTGAAGGTCTAGGTGCACAAGTTCACAGCAATCAGCAGCAGATCCTCCTTGGATACAGGAGCCTAGGAGGCTTCAGCCTGGGCTGCATTCTTGTGACCACCAGCTGAGAGAAGTGATCATTCCCTCTGTCTGGCACTTGGGAGACCTCTCTGGTATGTAACATCCAGTACTGGTGTCTCCAGCACAGGACAGATATTCACATTCTGGAGTGAGCTGGGTGAGTGGCCACCAAGATGGTTTAGAGGGATGATGGGAGAAGGGAGGCAGAGAGAAATGGGCCTCTTAATGCTGGAAAACACTCACAGGATGTCCTTACTACAGTCTGGGCTTCCCTGAGCAGGGAGTGCAGAGCAGACGAAGTCAAATTGTTCTTACAGTGCACAGCAGTTGGATAAAGGCACAAGGAGGAACATAGAAAAGCAACTAGACAGAAAGAAAATTTTCTTACCATGACGGTAGAAATGCCCAGGCAGCTGTGGAATGTCCTTTCCTTCTCTGTAGGTATTTAAGACTCACCTGGACAGATGCCACCACAAGCTGATCTCATTAGGCTTGCTGTTAGCAGGGAGTTGGCCTAGGTGACCTCTGGAGGTCACAGTGAAACTCAAATTATTCTAAGACACTATGATTTCTAGATATAGGAAGAAGAGCAACAGGGAGCTGTTGACAGTTCACCTGCAAATGGCTGGAAAAACCAGTAAGATAAACAATCTAATCAATGATGAGCCTGTTGTCCCATCTTTAACAAGATTTTATGATACATTTTAAAGGTAAGAAATACTGAAGATGAAGTGATGGACAACAAGATAATATCCTGTATCAGACTACCAGTAGCATACCCTTGAGATCATTCTAGTATTGTCTTTGATAAGAAATTCCAGGTAGTGTAGTCCTGCTGTGATTAAACAGCACTTTCGTTTTTCAGACTGAGGAAAACATTTAATGCAATAAGTATAAAGCAGCAAGGGATCTGATTAAACCAAGGAACTGATAAATTATACCAAAATGAGAAGGCTGAAAATTGGTTCATAGATGGTCTGAAATTGGGACTACATCTGTTTAATATTTAATTTTGCCATTATCATTAAAAATATGCAGAAGGTGATATTTGTCAGTGTCAAAGGTGAGACATGTTATCAGCATCAGAGAAGACTGAAATATCCTACAGACTGAACTGCACAATCTTTGGGATGACAGCATAGAGACTGGATGATATTTAATTGCACAGCACACAAAGCCATGTATTTAAGGAATTGCAGCCAGCTGGAAATTACCAAGGAAAAGGATGTAGACACGGTGGCAAATCACTTGCACTCTGGTGTACAACACAACAAAAGGCTGTAATTTTACTGACTTTTTGGATGCTTCTAGATTTCCTACCAGAGAGCAACCCTGAATATTGTACAGTTTTTCAGAACCAGCTTTTAATTTTTTAGAAACCTTTGGGTTTTCCATACAGCAAAATGTATATATGTGTGTGCACAGAGGAAGAGATGGAAAAAGATGAGACGGGGAAGCTCTGAAGCACAAATATAATTTTTAGGGTTGGGATTTTCTGTTTGAATAAACAGCACTAATTCCAGACACATGTCCAAATACCGCTTTTGAAAACTTCTGGCAACACCTTGAGCTCCACCAAGGATTAACTACTCCAGTTAATGCTTTTGGAGGGACAGCAGGTGCCATCTTGCCAGCTTTTCTTTTGGCAGTGTCATTTCCATTCTAGAGCTATCCCAAAGATTTTGTGTGCTTGAAGTATTCAGAAAATGTTGTTGTTAGGCTGTGGAAGGCAGAAGTAACAATTTTCTTATATTGAATCATATTAATAAGTTCTCTTATTCTGCTCTGATAGTTTCTTATTTTATTATTATATACATTATTAACTATGCTAGCAGCAGGACATAACAAATGCAAAATACTTGTTCAGGAACACTACTGTTTCCAGCAGGGAATAATTAAGAATGCATGTCAATAACATTTAGGATTCTAATGAATAAAAGATAGCTCATGCAGGCAACTCAGAGACCTGAATAATTTTCTCCAAGAAGGTTAAAATGCATGATGAGTGCCTAATTCATAGGGAAGCACTTTTGGGTCATATATTTCAATATCAGACAGGATGAGATCAAGGTTCAGGTAATATACAGGTTTGAAATTTCATCTTTCCTGCAGGAAGCCTTCAAAAGGATGTCAGAAATCTTCAGCGCCGTTCACCTGAAAAGCAGAAAATACCTTGCAGAGGTAGAATTTTAGATCTTCAACACTTAGCCAAGAGAATACATCTCAACATCAGAAACTTTACCTCTAATTCTTGAGAGCACTGACTGCATTTCCCCAGCTGGATCTGAGCTGGTAAACAACTGCTAGGTACATCTGTGCTCCAATCTCCATAACAGCAGCAAATGCACGCAGTAAAGAATGTGACCATCAAACTGGCTTTCTTTCAGACCCTCCACCATTCCTCTAATTCTCCTAATTGCCAGAAGCAATTTAGTTTTACATCCCAAAATGACCTTGATTTTATTTTTTCTAGAAAAACAGCAAAGGACAAAATGCATTTCTGTGTCTCAGTCCATTTAGACCATCTAATTTGCTTTAAACTTGGCTGTCTATGGCAAGTGTAGGCTGTGGCATTATTGGCTGAATCTTGTTGGGATTCCACACCACAAAATTGTAAGAGTGTGTTTAGAAATGGCTCCTACCTCTTTAGTACTCTTCATTTCTACTGGTGTTCTGCAGACACTTTGAGGACAGGGGCAAGATGGGGAGAGAAAACAACAATGAAAGCAAGTGAAAGAGCTGTGACTGTACAGAACACAGGCTTTAGCCAAGCAGGATTCATGAGACAGGCATTGGTACACAGATCCACTTACAGGGCTGCCTTTAAAACAGCAGATCTAAAAACCATCAGAAATTTCTAACACAAAAGGCACAACCAAGACTAGTTTGCTGGTTTGGAATTTTTAGATGCCTGCCTCTCAGTTGCTTTGATAAAACCAAATGCTGAAGTGCAGCTGATGTCTTGGCATCACCTCTTCCCTCATGCAACTGAATGGTTTTCCCAAATGTAAAAAAAAAAAAAAATCTTAAAACTTGAACCAAACCTAGAGAATGAAATTGGTTTAGGATAGTTTATGACTGCCCTCCCTACCAAGCAAGCAGACAGCAGCCAGGACTCCACATGAGGCACTCACAGGCTTCCAGAGTGGCATTGGGATGTGGGAGGTCCCCAGGCCTCTGCTGCAGGCCGGAACTGCTCAGGACTGGTGCAAGGCACACAGAGGAAATAAGGGGCTTTGCGTGGCCCACTGTATCACCTGGAGAAGAAAAAAAAAAGAATTTTTCTGCCACTTTTTGTCAATGTTGTTCAAAATTATTTTCATCTCATAAATTACTTTAATGTCACCTGGCAGCTCACTGTGCCTTTATCCATCCAGGGACAGTCACTAACTGGTTTTGCTCCTGCTCCAAGCTGGGGTAAGCTACAACAGAGCAGGATTTCAGGCAGCTTCACCTCCACCCCTGTGCTGTTGCCTAGACTACAATAGACAGACTGGGTTTGGCCAGGTTGGTTCCTATGATGGATGGGCACTATGAAATCTCTTCTGCCCCTCTGGTTGCCCCACCAGTACAGTTCCCTCCCTAAGAACAAGCCCCTTCCCTTAGCCCACTGCAATGTCATGTGTAAAGGGCTTGGTTTTCTTTGCTATAGTCTGAACCAATTTCTTTCTCTTTCAACCCAGTTTCTTCTTCCTGTTGCAAGGGAGATGAAATTTCTGTGTCAAATTTTACTGTATTTGCTGTATTTTTCTAAAAGATGATGGAGTATTTCATCCATTGGCAATGATGTGAATTTGGGTTGGTTCCAGGGTCCTCCAGATTTCTGGACCTACCTAATGCATTTCTGATCTTTTCAAGCTTTCAAGGATTTAGAACAAAACTTAGAAACATTATCAGAGCAAACCCTACATTTAAATGCCAGGGAGTGAGCCAAAATAGACCTCCAAGCATTAGTTTAAAACCCTCAATTGACATGTTTGTTTAAAGGCAGTATTCAAGGTGCTGCTTGGCCACAGGAGATATAATTAAAATAGTGTTTCTGACAGGGAAAACAAAACCCTTCAAGTTGATCTCTTAGCCATGCTCACTAACTGCAATGATTTAGCCCAGGGAATATGTGATGATACTTTTACATCAGAGCTTTGGAGGGTATTTTTTAAAGAGCAAGCATGTGGTGGAGGTATATCAGGCAATTTGACATTGTAATATGGTCTGATCCCCACCAACCAGATTCTACAACCAACAGCAGGAAGCAGGGCATCAGCTGGCAGCTCTAAATTCATATTCCAAAGGCTGAGGTACATTTTACAAGCCATCTGTGGCCTGCTCTCAAAGGGACAGAAGGCACACAGGAGTGCTTTGAATTCTAATGAGTGCATTGGCTTATCAGTGCCCTCTGCACTGGCACCCTGCTTCCCTTCACACTCGAAGTTATTTACCTTGAAAAGACAGCAAAGGATCTGTACTGAGTCACCCACTGTTCAGCTGAGGTGCAGTGCTTCCTGATATCCCAACCATACCCCTGCAACTTTCCTTTTTCCTCTCCTTCTCTGAGAAGACAGTTTCTTGCTTGGAATTAATCTAATGAAGATGAAGAAAGAGCCTCTTTGCTAAAAATAGAGGTAGAGAAGTGTCAGATAATATTTCTCTGGTTTCTGGGAAATTCTACACAGCACTTACCAGAGGACAAGTAATAACTTACTTGATTTCTCCATCTTTTCACTGACCAGTCTGTGGACTCATGTAAGATTTGTCACTCTGACCATTTCCTGGAGACCTTTAGAGGAAATTATTACTACTCCTGAAAAATATTCTGCAAATCCCAAACAGGATGAGGATGACAAGAGAGGAGCTTCACTGCAAACAGAATAATTACATTAGAATTACCGTGGCACAACTGAAGAAAGTATTTGGCCCTAAGTGTCAGGCAGTAAGTGCAAATGTCTTCCTGCAAACAGCAGTTACACTACTTTCCAGCAAATTAGGCAACATTCCAGGGGGACACTTGGCTTTACTGGAAGTGATCTTTTAATTCTTTGTAAATGAAGGACTAAAAATTATGGTCAGGTCAAGAAGGTCTGGGGTGCACCTCAGAATGTAGATCAATAGCCAGAAAAACTCCAAACAGACTCCCAGCTAAGTGTCAGTGCAGATTTTCCTCATGAAATGAGTAAAGTGCTGCTCTATTGGCAACCTCATTATTCACTACTTAGCAGATGCAGTAATGACTTTAGGCAAATGTGAATATTGAACCTGAAAGGTCTCAGTACTATAAGCAGGAAACAAGCAGAAATGACAGTTGTGTTATGTCTTAGTCCCTCAGAGGGCCAACAGAGCAGAAAACAGGAACTCAGAATTTGAGCAAATTGTTCTTCTAGGGCAGAATGGTTTTGAGAGAAGAGGGTGGAAAGTGAAGCAGAAAGAGCCCTGTGAGGTACTTTGCTTGTTTACTGTGCCTTTCTTTCCTGAAGAGAGCAGGGGCCCCACGAATGTGACACATTCCTAGTAATGTGCGGGGCTGGATGGGTCGCAGAGAATCCTACATCCCTGCTACACCACTGGTGAGGGAAAACATGGACCATGGCTCCCTCCACAGCAATGGCAAGCTGAGCAAGGAGTGTCAGGGTATTGGTTTCTCCGGGTCTGGATTGAAGGCACCTGAGACAGTATTTCATGTTCTGACTCGGGTGTTTATTATTTCTTATCAGTAAAACAGTCTCACTGCTGTGAGCTTGGCAGCTTTTCCTTAGAAGGCACAAAATGGCCAATAATCTCTTGTTCCAAGGTCTTTTAAGACCAAACTATCCAAGTAAGAACTGACATCTGGATTATTTTCCCTTTTAACCCAATAACTGATCCCAAAGAGCTGCAATGGGGACTTTACTGCTCAATTACAAAATGTCACCCAAACCCATGGAGAAGAAGGAAGAAGCATGAAGAAGAAACCCAGGAGATACTCTGTGCCCTCCATCTTGCTTCCATCCACAACATACTAAAAATCCCAAAACCTAAATCTCTCACCAAGTGATACACCTGCACCACTCTCTAATTGTCACGATGTTGAGGAAATTTTCCTTACCCCTGCAGTTTAACGTACCCCCAGGACAGTGGAGGACAGTGACAGTCTATAGAGCAACCCTCAGGTAACACCTCCCCAGTCCCCTTTGCCTGACATAGGTTAAGATGTTGCTGTGCCTACAGAAAAACACTGAACACTAAGGAATACATAAGCAAAACTTAACTGAATGGTTTCTTTAGTCCTCTGGTAAATGAAAACTGAACTTCTGGTTGCACAACCCAGCCTGCCTGTTCCCTGAAGTTTCATGGAATCCTTTCATATGAATAGTTTAATTCCCTTCCCTTATTCAGTGTGAATAAAATAAATTTAGACATTAACTGACTAGTGAGATAAAAATCTCAATGCCACAACTCAGGCCTTTTGTATATCAAGCCTAGGGGAAAGAAGTGAACAATTAATTTCCATGGCATTAATACAGGCAGAAGGACCTGTCACAACCACCAGCACTGATTCCCAAAAGCAACACCCCTCTGCCAAACACTGACATATTCTCAGTCCAACAAGCAAATTGCAGGGAAAACTGAAGCAGCTGAAGGCCACTCTGAATTCTGTCTGGTTCTGCTTTGTTTGCAAACGAAAACCCTCGTTCACTATGGCACAGAAATTACCTCAAAAATATTAGATGGGGTTGTCATTTCCCAACAGACTGAGGGAAGCTGCTCTAGAAGAGGCTGTATTGTAATGGCACCTGATTTACTGCCATGAGGGCAATGTTTTGCAGATGTTGGCCTCAGTTCAATTTAAAACTGGAAACACCAGAGCTAGTTTAGCTAAGGGGAAGCTAAAGTAAACTGTGCTTTCTAAAAGTAGTTATTTTTATGATGCGTGAGGGGGAACCTTGCTGTTTGCTTCAGCCATACTGAGCAGAGTTTAAAAAAGAGCGAGAACCTTGCACAGGGAGGAACTTTTCCCAGGGCCCAGCTCCCTTGGGATTGCCCCTCCTTGCATGCAAATTTTAAATGCTTGTTGAAGGTCATGGCATGGAAAAACTGAACAGGACTGGCTTTGTGGTGTCCAAACCACAGCGCACATCACCATTGCTTCATCTGTGTCACTTCCTTTGCACACCAGCTACTGTTACAAAAAAAAAAAAAAAAACCAACAAAAAAGAAAATCAAGCATCTCACTGCTTCAGTAGATCTCTTGTCTGATCTTGTCTACAACCATTTTCTGTGTCTTCCTTAAAAGCACAAGCAAAATGTGCCATCAGTAGGAGCAGGGCAACCTTTTGTGGTTCAGGATGTGGCGAGTGCAGCAACACCTGGCGTTTTGCAGGTTTGCAGTTTCCCTGCTCACCAAGACTGGCGTGCTCTGCCTCCCTGTGGTCACTGCTGTCCTGGCATGGCACAGCTCGGAGGAAATCACCTCCTGCAAGGATTGCAACTCGGGCAATCTTGGACTTGTTCAAGCCTGAGAATATTTTGGAATAAGCTAAGGGATGCTGTGGAGGCCAGGAGCATCATCAGAGGCAAAAAAAGGCATTTCAGTAATGCTGGAGTTTCACTAATGCCTCTCTGATATTAAGAGACATTAAAAACATCACAAAGTAAGAGGCATTGTAGTGCAAATTAGCTGAATTCTGAGCTTGACTAACTAAATTAAATTTATTCTAAATTAACATATTAATCTTTCAGAGCTAGGCTTTCAAAGGAAGCATTTATAAATCTTTTGGCTACAACTTGATTAAATCTCTCTTTTTCCAGCCTAAAGCCTTTTTATTTAACACTGGTATATCATGCATGTTTTCTTTCTAGGATATGCTAAAGGCTGTTTGTTATTAGCATTTTCCTTTGATTTACAACAAAGAAGAAAAACAAATTACTGAGAATACTGAAGCACTTTGGACACTTTAGAACAATTTTAATTATTATTTATCAACATTCACAATTGATTGCATAAAACAATCAACTGTGTTTAGAACATTTTCAAAACTCATTTCTCCTGGCCTCTGAAACATAGCTCACAACAGGTGATGATCTATGGAGCTGAATTTTCAGTGTTATATCATGGATGGCTTTTAATATTTTTAACAGGTCTTGCAAGGGCTGAGCCTCACTTCTCTGCACCACTAGAGGGCAAAATGTTCTCACAGAACTGCTTAAAAAGAGAAAAAATACATTCAAGACGATAATTTTGAAAGTACACAGTGTCCTTAAAACAAGAGTATTACAAAAGTAG